CCTTCTTCTTCCCCTCCTAACTCTTCCTCAACTTCCTCCCCCTCGGGGTCTTCTACCAATAGGACTTGGAGTAATTTGTCTTTGCACCTATGCCCTGGCCCAAACTTCTCATCACACCTGTAACAGAGCCCCTTGGCTCTTTTATCCTTCAGCTCTGCCTCAGTGAGCCGCCTAAACTCCCCCTTGGCCGGTGCACTCCGATCCCTCTCCTTCTGTCCTTCTCCTCCTGCCCCCAAGTAAGCACCCTTGGCTCCTCCCGTAGGATTTGCCACCTTCTGTCCCCCTCCGAAGAAAGTAGGTCTGCGGTATTGATCAGAAGACAATCTATCCTCTATCAGCTCAGCCATCTCCAAAGTCTCCCTCAGACTCCTTGGCTTGGCCGCTCTAACTGCTGATCGAATGTGGGGCTTCAAACCCTTCATGAAGTTACCCTCAAGCACCTCATCCGTCATCCCACGAAGTCTACTGGACAGCAACTCGAACCTGTCCCTATAAGCAGATACTGTACCAGTCTGAGTCAGTGCGAAGAACTGCTCATGATGAGTTCCCTCCTTTGGTGGTCTGAAGCGGTCTAGGCACATCTCCCTAAACTCTGCCCAACATCTGAATCTCTGCCTTTCTTCCGTCCACTGATACCAAGCAAGGGCTCTTGCCTCCAAACATAAAGGTACCGCCAAGAGTTTCTCCTCATCTGTCATCCCCATCGCTGTGAAGTATCTTTCTGCCTTGAAGATCCACCCATAAGCATCCTCTCCTTCAAAGATTGGAAGCTTCAACTTCCTCATTCCCCATTCTCCTCTCCCGTTTACCCTGCCGTTGCCCATACCTCCTTGCCCATATCTCCCCTCTGGTTGCCTCTCCCATGGCCGTGGGTCCACCCCACGACTCTCCCTTCTTTCCCAAGCTTGAGGTGCCACCGGATCCCCCCTTGCATAACCAGCCGACCCCCAATGAGGCTCCCTAGGGTCGGCCTCCCCTCTGCCTCGATACGGTCCTCCTCCCCACTGATTGTAAGGCATGCTTCCTCCCTCCCTTCCTTGGACAAATTGATCTGGATGATTCTGAGTATAGCTTGCCCTAGCGTCTCCCATAAATCCGGCGGTGGAGTAGTCCTCCCCTCCACGGTTTGGGCCATACCTGCCCCCCCTTGGGCCGGCGGACCAAGCATCCCCTCCATGGTCGACAATGTCAATGGCCTCCTTCCCTTTTGCATTAGGTCCCTCACGAACCCTACTACCTCCTTCACCATCAACCGGCGGCGCAATAGGGTTAGGGTTAGGGTTAGGGTTAACCGAACCCCCTATGTTGTGTTGGCCCGCCACCATTTGTTTGATCATCTCTTGTAACCCTAACATTTGAGTCTTCAACTCCTCTACTCCATCAAGCTTTTCGTCAACGGATGCAAATTTCTCCTTAAGGGCGGTGAACTCCACTTCCCACTCTCCGACTTTCTCTTCAATAGATTCAATCCTTCGTGTACCCATCCCTTCCTTGTGGATCTAGGGCTCTGATACCACTTTGATGGAGCTTAGTTTGTAATTTTCGGAATCCAAGAAAAATAGCCCAAAAACAGTGGAAAAATGCGAAATTTCTTGGATGAAAACACTCACAAACACTTCAATAACTTGAATATCAAAAGACTTACAAGTTTCCACGGATACAATGCTCTCAATTCGAGAAGAGAAGCTTTCTCCCAAGCCCTAGAGAAGAAGAAAGCTAAAACAGCCACCAAAACCAGATCCTCCAAAAAGCCACCCTAACTCACTTTTAACTCTCACATAAACCCCTCAAAATCCCCTAATTACCCCTAGGGAAAACACCTCATCCTTCCTCTTCAATTTGGTGGGCCCCTTGGGCCCACCCGACTCCTTTCTCCCCTTCGGCTGTCCGCCCAGGCAGGCGGGTTCTCCGCCTGCAGTAAGTGAGAACCGGCCCTTTTTGGGCTGGTGTTGCTGTGGACCGGACCGGTCCATCACAGTAGTTCTCAATTACAACATACGAACTATTGTTTATAATATTGACTATAATTTTTTTAAATAATCCAAACTTAATAATAATGACTAAATGGAAAGCAAGCCTATTGTGCAAACTACCCATTTATTTTCAACTAGTGATAAAATAATATATAAAGATAAACAACAATAACTAACTAAATATGATACACGGACACCAATAAATCCATATTGATAACTAGAAGCAAGCTTCATGCACTAAATCAACATGACCTTAAAACACACACAAACACAGAGGATAGAAGTAAAAAGCCTTCAAACAATTTTCTTGTTTAAGATGCTTTCAATTGGAAGTGGCAGTCATTCCACAAGTGTAGACTAGCAAATAAAACGGATATATTTAAACAAATAATTTCAAAACTCAAAAAGGGTTTTATTTATCTTATTATTATCCTTAGAATGGGTTTGAGGGAGGACACGCAACTCACCTCCCTGAAATAATTAAGGGTCAGTTTGAAATAAATGTAATTGTTTGTAAACGTAGGTGCAAAATTATTGTGGGGAAAATAATTTTTTGAAAGTTATTGTGGCAGTTATAATTTTTTCTCTTACAAAAAAGTCATAAAACTTTTCATCTACCACGCTCTGAACAGATCTTGCTATAAAAAGTTCTCACTATAAAAAATTTATGAAAAGCAACAAAAAAAGTTGTAGCTAAATAAAATTGTATCAGCTTCTCAAAATGAAAAGAAATTCCATCTCAAATGGACCCTATAGGAAAAGTATTTACCCTATCATGAAGCATAGCATGAGCCAATGGGAAGAATCTTGCCAAGAAAGAGGTAAGTGATCATTATCATTATTAGCTTTACAAAAATTGAGTTCGCTTTATTAATCATCATGGTTCATTCATTTCCATTAAACTGCGTTAAATAATAACTTTATTTAACAATGGGTGAAAAGCCACCTCGAGAGAGTAAAGTAGGTCCTCCCCTCTCAGTGTAAGAATCAGCCAGCGAAACACCAAAATTTTGAGGCAATAAATCCCCAACTGGGGATCTATAGACCAATCTAAAGCGGTCAACTATATGTAGAGGAGAGAACATGAACAACCTGATCTGAACCCGGTTAGTGACTGAAGTCTTCGTGCCATAACTAGGACAACTGCTATTCAGTTTATATAAAACAAAATAGAAACGAACAGGGGATTTTATGTTCACTCGCAAAAGGAATTATGAGCTCTTGCTTTTGGCGATCCTGTAAACGGACCTCTCTCTCTTGTTCACGGCACCTCTCGAATCGACATGCACTCTCAATTGTAGTACCTGCGCGAGGCTACAAAAACATAACCTCTCGCACAGGATCTGTTGCACCTCTCGTCCTTGGACTTGACGTTCATTTCTCCTACACGAACGACCAGGCATCCGTTCCACCTCCGCAAAGGAGCCCGCTATCCTGCTCTCGTGCGCGAACACCCACGACTGAACCTCCCTGCTCCATTCAACTCCTCTGCCTCTATGCCCTGTGCCTGACTCGCGATCGACCAGGCACATACACTTGCTCCAACTCGCGATCCACCTGTGGCCGGTACCAATTCACACAACACCTCCACCCGACTTTCTTTGATTTCACGAGAACAGCCTACACGCCTTAGCTTCCTTCTCGTTCACGACTCAAGCCCTAGCTTATTGTGCCGCACAAAAGAGTCACTCGCCGACTCACTCTACGAATTTGAACCCGAACTGCATCACCTGCCCGATTCCCGATCACTGGCTTTGATTCCGCATGTCTTGCACCTGCTCTCTTCTTTTCAAACAATGAGTGAAAAGAGGAAGGGAGATTATTTGTATGATTATTGATAAATAATATAGAAAATAAAAAAGCATGAGAAGAGGAAAGAAAATTAGAGGGTCTCGCAACGGCCTAATCGGAGAAATCCCGGGGTCGATTTGTTTTCCAAATCGTCCGTTGATCTGATCCGGCCTAGTGGATAGAAATCTCAAAGACCAATTCAAGGGTTTTCGATACATAGACGAGTCAGCAGTGGTTGGCTTTGGCCTAGGCTTAAAAGCCTTTCTCTTGGCCGAAGGAACTACACCAAGTGCAACTGACAATCTTAAGAACACAGAAGATCGGGGTGCAATGGTGTTCTCAATCATCATCTTCTTGGTTGATGTAGCTTCATTAGGAAGGTGAACAGTTCAGAAAAAGTTTCGACTTGCAACATGGCACTAATATGATCGGTATTGATGACAGGTTGGGGGAACTGAATCTTGATCCTTCCCCAAGCCTGATGGTCATCATGCTCTTAACAGGTAACATCTTTCAACAACCTGCATATATTAGAGTCAACATGATTTCTGTTGACCAAGAAAATATGACTTTACGATGAAGAAACATCTATATATATATATATATATATATATATCATCCAGAGATGGAGAGAAAAATCATCCCCAGTAAAGTCGCTAAAAAATCTGTTCGCTTGAGAAAATAGGCGCGAACCTCGCTCTCACAAGATTAAGGTCCTAATTTTTTCAAGGTAGATTGAATTTTAAATTAACTGGATTTCCCTTGAGGATAGTGTTAGGGTTTATTTAGATATGGGTCCTACTTTCACTGAGTGCAAGACCTCATAGTTAATTATCCATTCTAATGCGTAGAAGAGCACTCTCGATTAAGGATAAAATTATATTTAGTTAATGCATGAAGTGCATATGTGTGTGCAACTGTGTGAATGTTCTATAGTTTTCTATCCACTCGACCGGATCAGATTGACGGCTGAGGACATCGGGAGAACAAATTGACCCCGAGATTTCTCCGATTAGGTGGCTGCGAGACCCTCTGATTTTCTTTCCACTTCTCTTCCATTTTTATTTATTTTTTATCTGAACACCTAGACACGATTTTGACTAGCTTATCATAAAGATCAAACATCAAAAGTTCTACAAGATCAAAAAACATTGTACATTGAAATTTAGGACTTCAAATAGTGACTGGTACAAAGATGACATTCTCTCTACTCCCCAACTCCCAACATATCACACACTAGAAACCAATATATTCCATGTTCAATATGCAAACCATCTCTATGCTGTTGGGGTCATGATTGCTAAAATGTATCAAGACTCCAGCGACTGGAACTCTGTCGGAATGGAGAACATATTCCAACAAGAACAAAGAGTTCTCAATCTTCAAGTCTTGAGCCAATAGACAAGATATTTACATATCCATAAAAGGTGTGCCCAATTAAGTGACATTAACATAGTTAAACAATCCTTAAGAGTGAGATATGTATCAAAATATTCATGGGATGACAATGGTAAGAATCCTTTAGGTACTTCACACCTAAAGATCTGGTGAGAGAAATCCACACATAAATCCGAGATCCTTAGGAAGCAACACATTTTAAACCCATTAATTTCTAAAGCATGAAATCCTTTGCTCAATTTACAAAGAGAAAACGATAAAAGCATAACCAAATTACAATGCTTACTATTTTTTTGAAGAAAATTGATTGATGGAGGGAAGTTTTATTTATCTTAAAATTAAACAACACATTACAAAATAACAAAGAGGGTGTTTTATATTACCTGATTAACTATATAGCCTTTGATCATGGCAAGAAAATCTTCGTGCCGTTCTTTGTCTAGTCTATCAAGTTCACTCTTGTTATTTTCCTGCAGTTTGGTTATTGTTGGATTAAATACAAATATCACAAAAAAGTTAAACCACCATTTCAGGGCCAGAAATAGAACTAAGGGAATTTTCTTTCGACATAGGACATATCATATATTTTTGAAACACCATAACAAGAATTGGCAGCAACATCAGAATTTCGATAAATAAATATAAATAAAAAATGAAAATATTTCTGTCTGTTGAGTGTGGGATCCAGCAAATTATATAAATAGAGTATAATTGACCGACAAATATAAAATAAATATACTATTAAATTCACCAAAAACCCCACTGTCAAATAAAAGATCATGTTTGATAGTGCTAAACCAATTACTTTCTTAAGAACGAAAGCTGTATAAGGGTAGCAAGCTTTAGCTAAATAATCCAAAAAATATTTCATTCAAAAGAACAAATGAGAAGAAGCATATATGATTCAATTTGGTAATGCTTACTATATGCCTTGGCTGTCATCTAGATGCAAAAAAGAGAATATGACTTCTTCATTTAACAAGCAATGAAGCCTTTGAGTCATGAAACTAGTTCCGAAAGTACATTAAAAAATTCATAAACCAATAAAGATGTTGCAGTGCAGAAATTCTTGGTTTGAGAAAAAAAGAAACTAGATCCCATGAATTGATAATGGAGAGATGCCTCCATAGGCTGCATAGTACAACTAAATCAGCCATAATAGAGGATGGAAGCAAAGTTGAGAATTCTGAGGTTCAATGTTGACAAAGGACATATCTTCTGCTCGAGTCTTCAAGAGTACGCATGGCCATGAACACTATAGATGGCAAGAAAAAAAGTCTCAAGTCTCCATAAACAGCAGGACTGACTCCCAAAAGATTATGATGCAAAGAAATGGCCACAAAAATTTGAAAATCAATTAATTCTCCCACTATTGAGTAGGTACTAAAGTACCAATTTTAGATATAACCAGTTAATTAAGATACAGCTCAAAGACACTTTGCAATCATGAAGTATTTAACAGCACTTTTTTTTTTTTGTGAGTACTTATTTCATTGTCCCTTGGGAATTAGAAGTAATAGCACAGAGTGAAGAGCACTCCACACGAAAATTATCATTTTCCCATAATCATCACCATTAATATATCCCAATTATTTGGATTTTAATTTATTATCGGTTTTCTGTATGAAGTTTCACTACTACATTGACAAAACTGCCAGTATTATAACTAAAATAACATGCAAGGATAGCAACCAAAGTAGATAAAAAAGTGTAAACAGAAACTAGCTATTAGCTTCATAAAATTACATATTAACCAGTTATAGGAATCAATACATGAGCAAAAACAACAACACGCCTTTGTCCCACTACATAGGGTCAGCTAATCAGTATATGAGCATAATTACCTTAATTCGCTCGTATTCTCTAAATGCAATACTTTTGGCATCTTCCGTAACTATGATTGTTTCTTTCAGTTCCTCCAACTTCCGAGACCTAGTCCTCTCACTGCCAAATATGTTTAAAGAGGCTGCTTCAAGTTTTTCTTCTCTCAAACGCAAAGAAGACAAGTCTGATAGAAGTGTTTGTAAGGTCACCAATGCACTTGCGCGATCAGAGAATGCATGATGTACAGCTAACATCAACCCATAATATTCATGCAATTTATCCTGCAGAAATAATGATTTGTGAAGCAACTAAAGTAACCATAAAGTAACATAAATTGATGGGTTTACAGCCTTACCAGATGCTTCATTGCCAGTGAATTTGATTCTCGATAAGCTCTGCTTGCTCTAACCGCAGCAGTAGCTAAATGTTTATAATCAGCAGCTCGTATTCTTTGAGAATCACATACAACCTCCTCTGATTCAAACTTTCCGAGTTTTAAAAATGCCAATCCCAACTCACCCATCGTTTCTGACATGTCCTGCTGAGCTTTGACAAGGGCTTCAGCCTGCATAAAAGTTCTTACTTTTTCAGAAAAATAGACCAAGTTTATAAATCCTCCATCCATTCTTTTTCAGGACTGATATAGTGTTAACTTCTAATTTAAGAATGTAAAAAAAAACTTCTAATTTAAGTATGTCTTCACAAATTCTAGCTATATTACCTATGGTCTAGTCTTTTTTTTTAATGCAATTCTTTTCATATTAATTTCATCTCCCACCTTATTTGTGCATCCCAATCTTTGTACCACATAACCAAACCATCTAAGTCTATTTTTGTTACATTATTCACAACATGTGCTAGTCTTATAGCTTGTCCATATCATCACTTCTTCATATATATTTTGTAGTTTTATCCATATTAATCTTAAAGGATTCATGTAGCCGACTCCACGTAGTGGGACAAAGGCTTGATGATGATGTTGTTGTTGTTGTTGTTGTATCCATATTAATCTTAAAATTCTCAATCCCCCCATACTCAACATATTAAGTGACCTCAACGCCTAGGCATTACTAATCAAATTGAGCTGTTACAAAATTCAACTTCAAATATACTAAAACAAGTGTGTAACAATTGTATTGAGCTCCTACCAATGCAAGGACGGGGGAAATGTTTATGCACACAGCCGTGCCACTGCATTTGCAGATAAATTGTTTCCATAACTCAAACTTGAGACCTACAAACTACAATAGATGTAACAAAACCACTGTTCCAAGCCCTTCGCTTCCTCCAAATATTCTCTAACCAACAAAATAGATAAGATTCAAATAATATTTCTTATAAAGATGCTGCCAAGCTAATGCAAAAAACAAATACAAACATGTCTTTATGGGGCATAATGAGAAATTGGAGTTCTTATATCACAAAACACAATATAGACAAAAAGAAAACTTATATGAGGTATGATAGAAAAAAATTCCATTTAAGCCACTTAAAGATGGTGCTAAATATGGGATATCAAGAAAAAACACAAAGTTCAAAAATCTTGAATATAAGTAATGTTACATGTTGTGGGGAGGATTTTGATATGAATGCACTCTCTTGGTAGTAATCTAAAGGTCAATGTGGGAGAGGATTTTTTTAATTAGTTTTTATTTTTTTTAGAATGTTTTTTTAAAGCCATAATTTTACAACTAGATGATGAAATAAGTAAACAAGGGCAATTAACAATAATTTCCAGAGAAATAAAAAAATTATAAGATAAAATAAAGATATCATGTTGCACAAGTAACCATCGAAGCCTGAAAATCACGTAGTTGAATCGCATAGCTTGAAACCCGACAAAAACAAACAGAGTAATGATAGATTTTTTTTTTCTTGTTTATAAGATATGAAACTATCTATCTAACGATGTGTTATCATTCAATAAGCTCACATTAGGATTTAGGGAATGTTGTAAATCATAGTTATCTGAGATTTCGCCAATATGAAGAAGATAATGAACTTCAAAATTAGGATGACCAGTGTGCACAGTATTATTTGTAAGTGTTGTAGGAAATATAAGTGTAGGATTAAGATGGGCAGACAACTGTTTCAGCTTCTAGAGGAATATTAATTGTACTATGATTCTTATTTCTTAGTGCAAATCTCAGCTGCTAAAAGAGAACCATTCACTATGGTAATAGAAACAAATTTGACAATTTGAGTGTACCTCTTAATCCTAAATGTTTGCTTTTCTTAAATCTGGAAGGCCTTGAAGCAACCATTATAATTGTGGATAAAAATCTTGCAGAACTTGTAAAATTGGGGGATACCTTCAAATTTGATCTTTTTCCAATAACCAAAAGACGATGTACCTATCCACACATCCTTTTGAATTGGAGAATTAACTTCCATTTCTACCTAGACCCTAGACAATGATTGTCGTGAAAGAGAAACAGCAGCAACATTAACTTGTAAGGCATACTGAAAATAGATCCAAAGAGGTGATAAGTGATTCCTCAAAAGCATCAAAATGGGGTGACCACTTTAGCTTTTGCATTAAAAAGCCACTAATAAAGTAGGTACAATGAGAGAAGAGTCCGATGTAATCTGATTCTAAAGCAGGTCTGATGATGACATGAAAATAATCAATTAGTCTAATTGAATATTTACAAACCAAATGAAGATCTGACGTGAAGTTGAAAATGGCATTCAAGAAGCAGAGAAAAGATAAAACTTTTACAAAACAGAGTATAAAAGATTTAGAATCAACAAAATTCACCAAGAGATCTGCTCACAAGGAGTGCATCAATATTTATACATACATTTACACGTATCACAATGAGAATGGCTTCCGCACATAGAATTACATCCGTAGTCTGCGCTTGATAATTTCTCCACGTCAAAGGCCAAATAGCACAAAACCAATGGGATCTTGCATTAAACCATAAATTAACATAAGTAACACTAACAAACAATCTTTTCTTCCAAATTTGTGCCAAACTCAAACCTCCAAAACATAAAGACAATACCTTTCATCTGAGAGCTAACATAAAAAATTACTGGTCCTATTATTCCACAAAATTACACATACTCTGACCCTATTTTAGGTAACCAGATCCTATTCCTTCATAAACACCGCACGGTACAAATCTATAGGTTTTAAACTCGCACCCTCTCTCCACTCAAAATCAGAGCCCACAAAATTCCAATAGAAACAATCACGGCGTGAACAGGCAGACTCAGCTTTGACAAAATGCGGCAGAATGTTCAAAGGATGGAGCAGTAATATGGTTATCACAAGGAAAGAAATACCTGCTGAGAAGCAGTAGAGAGCTGCTGTTCCAGCTCCAGCACTCTCTCCTTCCTCTCCAAAAATGTTTTGTCCTCTTCCACCACGGAGGGCTTCGCTCCTCCCCAGTCATTAGCCACCGATTGCTTCAACTCCTTAAACATCCTTAACAAATCCCTTCCTCCCTTTGCCGGCTGTACCACATCCTGCGGGGCTGCTACGTATCCACTCCCCGCTTCTCCAGAACTAAAAAACTGCTTCGGCAGTCTCACGGCCCCATCCAAAACCCTTGAAGCCATGTCCGTCGTTGCTGGCAGCGGGAACTTCCCGGCCGCCTGGAGAAACACTCGCAACTCATCGCTCTTCCCGATGACAGGATGTTCAGCAAGCTTGTAAAGGTACTTCTCCAGGGCTGAACGTCGTTGTTCGACGAACTCTTGCTTTTGCATGACCTGACTCTCAACTACGCTCTTGTCGGGGCGTGGAGGAATGACGAAGCCACGGTAGGACTCGGCGATACGGTCGGCAAGGGTGACAACATCGCGAAAGCGGCGACGGACGGAGAACTCCTGGAGGGAGCCAGAAAGATCCGAGGCGCGAGTGCGGGAAGTGATGAGATAGGACACGAAGGTGCCTGCACCAGGGACAAGGGAGACGGTTGACTCCGACTCCTTTTGGGGATCGGAAACGGTGATCTTGAGGTAATCCGAGTCCTCGCGGGAATTTGGCCGAGGAGACGGATAGATTGAGCCTTTGGGAGACTCTGTGGCTTGCAACGAGACGCCCTTGGCATTAGAAGGGGGTTCAGCAAAAGAGGATGTACGGGTAGGGGAGGAAGAGGAGAAGGAGAAGGGTGAGTCGAATTGGAGGGGATGTAGGAGGGGATCACCTCCGCCGCTTCCGTCTACAGGGACGGCGGCGAGAGGTCCGTCAGCTAGTGGGAGGGTCTCCATCTCCTCCCTCGGTGCCGGAGGCTCGAAGCTGTAGTGGCTCTCTTCATGATCCATCATCGTATTCTCTCTCCCTCTCCCTCTCCCTCTCTATCTGTGGAATTACAACATTGGGAACTGTAGTATACGTTGCGCCGCGGTGAAGGTAAAGACAATTAGCAACAAAAATTTCTATTATAAATTATAATAAGCTAAATATGGAAAAATGTAACAAAATAATAAAGGGTTAAAGGCTCAATGATTTCATCGGAGCTCAACTACATGATATACAGATATAGTAAAAATAAAATTTATTTAAATAAAATATCAATAATAATATAATAATATAATTTTTTTATTAAAAAATAAATTAAATTCACATATTAATAATATCTTATATAAATTTAAATTTAAATATATTTAATCTTTAAACTTAATTCAAAATTACTAAAAAATTTAGTTGTATATAAATTTATACATTTAATTTAAATACACTTTATATAATAAACACTTTTGTACTCAAAGCATCATGACACATCTTCACATGACCTCCCCATGTGCTCCTTGGTGCAAGGAATCTAAATATGCTATATAAACAATAGCAAGAAAGTGTTTCTAAGGGATGTGGGACTAAAGAAAAGAGATGAGGAGTGTATGAGTTCATAGCATATATAATGGATATAAAACCTATTTTTAAACAGATTTTTTAATTAATTATTTTTTATGTGAGTGATAATTATTTATTAGTTAATAATAAAAATTTATTTATTTATACATAATAAAAATTAATTTATCATTAATAATTTTATTTATTTATTAATGATTTTAGATATAAAAATTTGATTTATATATTAAATTATATGGTTATATATAAATTAAATTTAAAATTTGAAAAATATTCAAATTTAAAATTATCATATTTTTATGAGTGTAAATTCTTATAATTATGAGATTTAATTTTCTTTTTGCTTTTATGTAAGATTTTAAAATAATTATTTTACTTATTTATATAAGTTTTTATGTTTCATAGTTTTTTTTTTAAATTTAATTTTTTATCTCATACTTTGAATGATAACATTATTTTTATGTTAATTGTATTAAATTTAAATAATACTTATTATTTATTACGTCATCCGGTTCGACCCCGGTTAGACCGGTTGAACCGGTCGAACCGTGAACCTCTCCTTGTTCCGGTTCGTTGTTCGGTCCGGTTTTCAAAGCCTTGTATTTAACGTCTTAGCGTTGTACGAAAATCCGGCATGCAGTCAGATAGGAGAGAGGATCTAGCATTCACATAAGATACCAATATTTTTACGTGGAAAACCCCTGAAAAGGGGGAAAAAATCACGAGGTCTAGCCCAGTTTGAATGAATCCACTAGTATTGTAGTTGATTACAAATGAGGTCATTCCTTGGTGGAAGGTCTTAGCTTGATGTACATATTATGGAGTACATTACATGATGTTAATACAAAGAGTTATTGTTAACATGTTCATTTGGTCGGGAGGACCGTAGTCGGTGGGCGACGTAAGTCAGGTGGACCGTAGTCGGTTGGCAACGGAGGTCGGAAGGACTATAGTTTGCGGGAGACGTAAGTCAGGAGGACCGTAGTCGGCTGGCGACGGAGGTCGAAAGGACTGTAGTCGGCGGGCAACGTAAGTCAGGAGGACCGTAGTTGGCAGACGACGTAAGTCAGGAGGACCGTAGTCATCTGGCGACGGAGGTAAGAAGAACTGTTGTCTGACGACGAAGATCAGAAGGACGACGTCAGGTAGAAATCCAACAAAAGAAAGAAATCCAACTTCGCATAGACGTCCAGCGAAGTCCGATAACCGGTAGAAGTCCGGCGTCGAGTAGAAACTTGGCGAAGAGTGAAGGTCCGACACCGTGTAGAAGTCCGACGTCTGTTGGTGGTAGAGGAGAACTCCGGCTTCACTTGGGCGGAGTTTCGGCGTCAGGAGGGAATTCTGTTGTTAATTGGTAAGAATTTCAGCTTCACGTGGAAGTTGAGCAGAATTTCGGCGTTCTCCCGAATATCATGCAAAATCCCGACGTGTTCGGGCGGCAGGACGAACTCCGGCGGTGGTCGAGGAGGAGCAGATTCTCCTTCTTCTTCTCTTCTCTTTCTTGCTCTCCTTACTTGAGTCCTCTTGTAAAGAATGAGGGCTCTATTTATAGTTTTTCTAGGTTGGCATGACTTATAAATAGGTGTGAGATCAGGGGCAAACAGGGAGTGGTTGAATGGACGGTCGATATTGAACACTTCGATCGTGCACCGTTCGTTGGACATTTTGAGGCCTTAGTGATGTCGGAATTCAACGATCTTGGGCTCGTTGGATTCGTCTCGCCGAGCCGTTCGATTCGAGTATAAGTTATTTAAAATCGAACACCGTTTGGTAACTCAAATTGTGGTTTGAACCTTCCAATAGCGCTTCGGGTCCTTGATTTACCCATTTGGGCTCGGATTGGGTTGAATTTGGTCTCGTTGGGTTCGTATTTTAGAAACGCTCAGTTGATTATAAGCTCGCTGAAATCGGATTTCGGGTGCTTCCGAATTTAATTTTTGAAGTTTCGGGTTGGATTTTGCATCGAGATTCGTGCCCAATCAAGATAATTTCATGATAACGTACGTATCCATAAAATTTATTTAAATAAAATTTCAACAATAGAATAATCATATAATAATATAATTTTTTTATTAAAAAAATAAAGTAAATTCACATATTAATAATATCTTATATAAATTTAAATTTAAACATATTTAATCTTCAAACTTAATTCAAAATTACTAAAAAATTTAGTTAAATATAAATTTATACATTTAATAAAAATTATTATTAATTTATTATATATATTAAAGTCTGATAAATTTATACAAAAAATATTTTATAATTAAAAATCTTAAACAGATTATATTCAGGTTTCTAAGATTCGGTTAAGTGTGGGATCTTATTTTTTTTTTAATTTAAATAAACCAGCAAATCCGCCTCTCTTGCAGCCAAGAAGCTCAGAAGACAAGAAGACAAGAAGAAACCTGCCATGGAACCTCCTGCTCGAACGTCTTGTTCCGGCAACTGCCTCGTCCATCTCCACTCAGCTGCCGGCGAAGCCTGGTTGCAGTGGCACTCCTGCCCTTTCCAGCAACATGTTGGCCGCGACGGCATTACCCGCTACCGGATCCCCACAGGCAATAACGATGCAACATTCCTTTCCGCCAAAGAAATCTACACATCTCATTTCCAGAGCCAGATAGCCGCCTACGAAAGCCTCTACGGACAACGAGTCCAAAACATTGCCGCCGTAATCCCCGCCTGCATCAACCCCCGCAAGTATCAATCAAAACTCTCCACCATCGCCGCCGCCGCAGGAGTTCGCATTGTCCAGTCCATCCAAAGGTCGGTTCTCGCCGCATCTGCTTACAGACCTCTCAGTACCTCCGGACGCAGAACCGTCCTCGTATTCGAACTCGGAGGTCGATTCCTTGAAATCTCTCTGCTCACTGAAGATCGGGGTCGGGGTCTAAATATAATGGCCGCTGTTTCTGATTTGGGCTGCCCACTCTTGAACCACATGGTTTCAGAGGTTCCTTGGATTTACAACGGCGACCTCGAATGTGACGCCGCCTTTCTCAGTTACATGCAAACGGAATGCGAGCGCGCCAAGGACGCCCTATGTTTGGGCTTGGCTACCGTGGAGTTTAAGATTGAGATACCAGGCAAGGAGACGAGAAAGTCGATCGATCGGAAATGGTTAGTGCAGATGAATCTCAACCATCTTCGCAGCGGAATCATGAGGTGCTTGACGGAAGCCGGAGTCAGGAAAGAAGACGTAGATGAGGTCGTGCTCGCCGGTCCTTCCAGTAACATACCGGAGGTCCGAGGAGTTCTTCTTGAGTTCTTTCAAGAGACGAAGTTCAGATGTAGCATCGACCCTGCAAGTCTTATGTTCTTGAGTTCCCAGAGTTGGTCGAATAATATCTGTAGTACATTAAATATCCCTGTGACAATTTTTGAGGGTTTAAATTTGGGGCTGCAAGCTCTTTGAGGTTTCTCCTTCATTATTCTTTCAAGTTCTTGTGAATAATGCAGCAGTCTACAATAATAACAAGAAACTGCTACGGAATTCTTTGATGACGGCCTATCTCGTTCTAGTTGTTGAATATTTTAGTTTCACTTACATGATTTTGGATTTGAAGCTTAACGAATATTAATGTGCTCAGTTTTCAATTAAATTTGCTCAAAAGTCCCTCAAGAAATTATTTGATAGGCAGAATTTAAATTTCCAATTCATTTACATTAAGTTTGTATTGGTGAAATTTGCACTCATTTTCACGAAAGATGGTGTATTTTTATCTTTTGTAGATTTTTTTTTGTTAGTTGTTTTGTATTTTTTTAATTTTTAAATTTTGAGAAGTATAGAATGACTAATGAACTAATGATTAAAAGAGAAGATTTTTTTTTTTTAAGATTATAAATTTAAGAATCAAGTCTCAGGATTTTTCACTGGAACATTTCTATTGCGGACTAGAATATTCACAGCGGAGGAAAAATATAAAGTTTAATGTACTAGCGTTGTACGAAGACCCACCCAATACATAATCATATAAAAGAGAGAGTGTAGTGTTTATTAGAGACACTAGAGTTCTTTTTTTTTTTTAAATGTAGAAAACCCCTACACAGGAGGAAAAACACGTGGTCTTGCGTAGTTTTAATGAATTCACTAATTTTTGCAGTCAATTACAAATGAGACCCTTCCTTGGGAGGAAGGCTTTGGTTTGATGTAGCAAATATACACCATATAGAGTGCATTACATGGTGGAAATTGAAAGAAAAAATATTGATATGTTCGTTTGGTCGGCGGGATCATAGTTGGCGGGCGACAAAGGTCGGAAGAATCGTAGTTGGCGGGCGACATAAGTCTAGAAGATCATTGTGGGGTGACGGAGGTTGGAAGAACTTTTTCAAACACATCCATTTACACTCGAAATTTGCATCGTTTGATGTGTGCGAGGAGAGAGATATATGAGTGCTTTCCTTTAATAAATTTAATGGTAAAAAATAATGATAAAAAATAAATTAAAATGCATTATTCAAAATAATAATATTAAATAAACTTGAATTATTTTATATACATAAATATATAATAAATCAATTAAAAAAAGAGAATATAAAATATAAAATTGATAAAGTTTTTTTATATTAAGTTAAAAAAGACATGTCACATTCAAATTATTTTTTTATTAAGTTTGAATACAAAATTGTTTTAATTTCACTTTTTCTTATCTTCTTTAATTAAACAATGTCTTATCAAGTGGCTGAGATTTGACACTCAAAGACAACATTTAGGCTTCGTTTGGGACGGCTTTTTTATTGCTTTTTAAAACGGAGTTTTAGTACAATTTTTTTTTAATTTTATACTAAAACTTCTTTTTAGAAAGCAATAAAAAACCGTCCCAAACGAAGCCTTAATAGGATCAACCATTTGATAAAGGGTTTAGATTTTAGATTGAGGCTTCGTTTGGGACGGCTGCAGCTGTCGGTAAAGCAGGTTGTGAAGTTGTTGTCCAGAAAGCTGCTTTCTAAAGTTGCTGTACAAAAATCAATACATTTTGTTTGGGTGGTATAACTTTCGAGTTATCGTGCTGCTGTATGACAACAAATTACCTTGATACCTTTTTATACATTTAGATAAATATAATAATCAACTAACATTTATGAATTAAAATTAATTAATTTTATCAAAATTTTTATAAGATTATATATCAAAATACTATAAAATTTTAACTTAACTTTTTCTAATCATACTTCAAATTAATTTGTTATGTTTTTATAGATTCTCGATTATTATTTTATAATAAAATATTTTTTCATAATAATAAAAATATGTTTTGATTGATCTTTTTTAAAAAATTATATCAACCGAATGGCGAATGCTTAAAGAGCAAAAGTTTGATACATCATCAATTTTTTTTTCGGAAATTTGTATAGCATAGCAAAAGTTTGGTGCATCATTTTTTTTTTTTCTTCTTTTTCTCCTTGTCTATAGGTGGTTCCTTCATCATCTTATGCTGTTATATGCTCTGCGTCAGACTTCCTCCTCAAATGGTTGGTTGATTCTAAGCATGAACACCACCAGTGGTCCTCTGCATTTTTTTTGGGATTGATATCAGTCTGCTTTCATGCAACTGATAGAATGCTAAAGATGAACGTTGTAACAGTTCTTATTCAGGCATAGAACTGTTAACAATGCAGTGTTAAGTGTCTTTCAAAACTGTTGATGGTACATTTCGTCTATATAAGATAAATTGTTTTGTTCTATAAATACTGATAAGAGTGAAGACTGGATATTTCTATATTTCGATCTATGAAACCTTACAGCATGGTTAAAAATCTTGAGCTATGCTTATCATCTTTTCTTGTTTTCTCTTGTTTTTGCTTTTCTAGAAACAGAAAGCATGTCTGAAAACATGTTTGGATGAACCTTTTCTATATAAAAGTTTTGTATTATATTTGTAAAGTAAAAATAAATAAAAAAATTCATCTAAAGATTCACAAACTTAATCAAATAAGAATATACATACTATCAAACATATGAAACTTCCTAATTTATCTCAGTCATCAATGCATTTGTGATTTCCTCTCGTAAGTGGATCATCTCTTCCGCACCTTCACCATCTCATGCCTCCTGATTAAATGTATTTTCTTCAGTCTCTATTAATGATTGTCCAATTCTAAACTAATATGCCTCTTATGGTATATATGTTCTGTCTTCATCACATATGTTGAATTATGGGTCTTCTCGAGTGGGATGTCGACGAATATAATTATGTAATGTCATTGTTGCTATCACTATTTTAATTTGTTTTTTGAATGAATATGCTGGCATATCTCATAGTATGACTCACTTTTTCTTCCAAACGACAAATGATCTTTCAATTACGCCTCTTAATGAGGAGTGTCGCTTGTTAAAAGCTTCTTGCCTCCCCCGTACTAATTGGCTTCCTCTTTCAAAACCAGGTATATGATATTTGGTATATGAAAATGGCTTTAAAAATCCCCGTTGCATCGGATAATCATCATCGACAACATAATATTTTCCTATTATAAGCTATATGTATTTTAGTATTTGTTTTTACTACTTCTAACATTACAACTATATAAAACGTACCTGGAGGTGGCATGGGAAAGTTATTGCATCTATTACGAGTTGCAAATTTAAAAATAATACTGTCATGTGCACTTCCTTCCCATCCTGTCATGATAAAAGTGAAGCACATGTTGAAGTCACACACAGCCATAACATTTTGAGTATCACAAAATTCAGGATCTATCGGCTTGATCACAGAACATGATAATTTTACCAAAGCCTCCAATCCAATAGAGAAATACCTACTTACTGTCTCAGTTGAGTGTTGAAACCACTCACATGTGGACCTTATTGATTCATTATGCGATGAAATATATAAAGTCATCGCAAGTACTTCTCTACTTGTTGTCCTTGATGATCCATGTAGACCATGAATACATTCCAATTCATTCAATAGATCTAAAAAAATTGTTTGAGACATACGAAACATATTATGAAACCTCATTGGATGATCTTGTAGTAGCTCTCCAATCCATTTGTCTCCTCTGTATGACGATATCATGCATGGTGTCTTGCAAATATATGTTTCATAATACTCGTTTATAAAACATATTGCTGCAAGTAAAGTCTTTTTAATATTTGCAATATCGGATGACTCACTTCTATTCTTATTACATTCCATTCCTGCATATATTTTGCAATAAGTATTAATATCTTATTTATATAAACACCTCATATGCTATCAAAAATTACAACCACTAGAAAGTCATAAAGCCATAAAAATAATATGGGAACTTTAGAGATTTCTTGAGTAAAAGGATGCAGCGCAAATCAGTCGTCTAACACAGACTGGCAAACAATGTTCAAACTAATACAAGATCAGATCGCAAACTATCCAATCCAAGCTGTCAAAACAAAAGAGTCAGAAAAATTGGGTAAACAGTTATGAGATCCACATGTGGACCTTTTCAGAACTATCTCCAAAGGATCTATCCACCAACTTAATTTAAGCTAAACTTCTTCCAATAATTACTTTGCACATTAAATTTTCTAACGTAACAAATTTTCTTAAGTAACGCATTCTCAATGTCACATACAATTTAATCAATTAATGATAAATTCAAATATTCATTCAGCAATATTGGAAAAAATACCAAGTACAGCATGAGAAATGGTATGACAAATGGCCTAAAAACATAGCCTGCAGCAACATTTAAAAAAAAAAAAATTGTTCACTGCAAAGGCAGCAATTGTCCTAAAATGTGTAATACTTACAGTAAAAAACAACCATTCAAATAAATATACATGTGCTCATAACATTTTAAAAGTGACCGGCAATCACAGTATGTGGAACAATATATGGAACTGCAATTTTCTGAATGTCCAGAAATTTTCAAAACTTCAGTCAGAGTCATCAAAATGGGGCAATGCTGGACCGGAATTCATTCCAGTTGTAAGCTCTTGCATAACAACAATAAGTTCAACTTATTATGAAAAGTATTCTAGCTCCATCATCCTGAAAGTGCACCTAACATTTAATAATATCTAATAGATTCTTCATATACATTTCAATGGGATCATACAGATTTAAAATTAAATCAAATATATTTGAAATGGGTAAGAAGTTGGATAGCAAACTGATTTACTCATCCTGAAAGTACACCTGATTCAAAAAAGTGCATGTCCAAACAAAAGAATTGGACGGTTCTGCATTTTTAGACTACTATCAACAAACTGGAAATGGAAAATATCCACTCACAAGCTTGACAGAGATTGCTATAATTAATAAATATTGTAAGATTAAACTACACAGATTATATAGCACAATAGATCCTGGAAAAATGGGTACTATATATATATTACTTATAAGGTTCATTTTACTAGACAAAGTAAGCAAAGAGAAATACATCCAAGATCCAAATAGAATGAAGAAAATTACAATCCAATATCAAAGATCA